TAGTGCTATCGACGGAATAAACCTATAAACATAGAAACAACAGATGGTGCAGACAGACTTATATAGATACGTATTGTGTACTTACATTACTAGCCTAATAAGACGTTAATAGCTATTTAAATTTACATATCTTAAGATCATCTCAAAAATACGCGTCTTAAAAATAATCGTCTCGTAGAGATAAATGTAACCATAATAACAGTCACTAAACAACTTTTTAAAATACCATTGATATTCTAGAAAATTCCATAACAAGTAAATCATTGTGGCTGTAGCCTAAGGTAGTCCGAAACGAAGTCGCAGTGGCCGCGGCCACTTTCTCCGAGCGGTATGGTGTTGCCACTGGTTACTGGCAAATGGCCATGTGCCTTAGAAATCGTAATACTGTTTACACTTTTTTGGTGTTATATTACTGGCGGATGAATAACCTTAACAAGATCATACCAAACGTAAATTAGAAGGATTGTTGGATTGTTTATTAACATACAAATTTATTTTAATTGGCTGGTATCGATTAATATTATTAAAAATGACAATAACATAATAAATATTATCGCGTAAGAACTATAAAAATCATAATAAGAATAAAATAAGACACGTAAAAGCGTACTTAAAATTTTTAAATATTAAAACCAACATTTAAATTACTTACTTAATAAGTTCACACAGTAAATTCACAAAGCTTTCACTTAATGAGTAGTAATTTTGTAATGTGAAAATGAACACATAATAAGAGTATATAAATTTATAAATACTTTTGTCTTATCTCACACGTAGCTGGCCAAATGATATTCTGAATACAAAGTAGTTTACGAAAATTGTTTACTCTTTATTCAGATTCGGTGATGTTTATGTAATGCAGCCTCCACTCGGCCTCCCCCGGCCTCTCCCCGGCCTCTCCCCGGCCTCCGCCCCAGGGAATATACAATAAGTATAACATTTACATTTTGAAATATGACAAGCATACTCGTATATGTATAATGTGTGAAGTCATGCTCTACGTTCTACTTTTAAATAGTATAGAAAAAAATATATTGTAGTAAAAAGAAATAGAAGAATGCATTTTCTTGTTGAAATATCATTCGTCTGAAGTTATAACCAGTAAACTCTAGATCATAATTTAGTATCAATGTTAAAATTAAAATTGTTATTATTCTGTCCGAAATAATCGTTAAGTGTCACATATTGTACATTAATTCAACTAAATTTAGTGCGTTAATAAACATAAAATAAAGTTTAGACTTTTCTTGCGAACTATACTGGAGTTAAAATGCATGTATGTGTGTCGTTTAGAAAGCAGATTTCTCATAACATAAGCTCGGACTCCGCGGCCAATTATAATTTATAATTCAACGAGATTCGTGTCACCCTTTACGTCAGTCCATCATTTTATACAGGATAGGATGTGTTTTGTATATTTCTTTAAGCAATTGTTTTGATTAACATAAACTTGCCTATTTTAAGGCTTTACGTCTAACAACTGGCTGTTTTTGTATATCTCGTATTTTAAGGATAAATTTTCTTGTCCATATATCTGTCATATCAACTTCAATGTTAAGATAGAAAAATCAAACATTGCTTTGCATAGTAATAATTGTAACAACAGAGTAACACGTTTTAGCCTTAAATTGTCTATTTACTACGCAACACGCCATGTGCGATCACTACCAACGTTGTTACCAAGCCTATTGAAACAATTGCATATGTTGCGAAAACATTGATTGACAGGGACCAGAGAAAGGACTAGTCGGTTCGTTTAACCCAGATTCTCCGCCGCTTGCATACATTTCCCGGTATCCGACGCAACTTTTGTAGTAACCTCTCTCTCACGTCCTTTACTAGCTTTAAGTGCAATATGAATTCATTTGCTACCATTTCAACATGAAATATTCGCATGTAAAAACCACAAGACTCATTGTCTAAAGATATTTTGTATTTCTTTGCAATCTAGTCTAAAATTGTATCAAGATTTTTCACGCCTTAACACATAGAAATGTTTGTGCACGCTTTTCTCCAATCATTAATGTTTTCCACCCCATAATTCTACTACGGTCCAGTTGCCATAGCAACGCTCATACACATGCCTCGCATTCATCGTCTTTCAATTAGAACACTGTAGTAATTGTTCTTTAAGTTTAATAAGTTAAAAAACAAATACTTCGATAGCGTTTTAATTCCTGGGACCTTTAGAATAGAGATCCTTTCTCAATACAAAATTAAACCTGCTTCGTATTCATACGATAAACTCTAAAGTAGGATTTGAAGCCACGACCTACAGCGACGTATCCGATAGTGATATGGACAATAGCTGACCAGCAATCGGCGAGCATCGCTCTCATACAGACATGGCACATCACTATGCAGCACGAGCATCTGATCCAAACCCACATAAATCTGTTATGGTCAATCATCGAGACATTATGTGTCTTGATTGCGAAGGAATTAAAATTTTCACGCATACTTTACAAATTATCATTTAACACACGCAAAAAAGTCACACATCACAAGTATTAACACACAC